AGAAACAACTTTCCAGAAATAACATTGCCAGCAAAGATATATTAAGGGAAAATGAACGGTAAGCAATAACCAGCCAATGCCTGGCAATATTCATCTCCACTAAAATGTTTATTTTCACTCCATGGGTTTTCTTCCCCCTTAACTACCCCAGTGACAAATAAATTATGAACATTACAGCTAATTTATTACTCAGTACTGCTGAGAATGGAGAGAAAAAAAAGACAGCAGTATTTTAAAGCTGATTCTTATTCTAGGAAAACAAATACTTTATTAAAARTAATAATAAATTAAAAAGGAAAAACTGTTCTTGTAGTTGTCTGCCCTTGCTTAACCCATTCAGGCTCTGCTGCTGTCAACCAAYCAAAAGCTTTATCAATACTTTTAGCAACAGAATCAAGCTCTTAATYTCTGCCTCAGTTTCCCCACCTGTGACACCTCTCCCACTCAGTCCACTCCGACTGTGAATACTCAGAGCCAAATTCTAYTGTGCAGCACTGAGCAGGACAGAGAACTCAGAAGCACTGCAGTATTCCCAAAACTTGACTTTAACAACATCCTCCATGCAGATCTTGTCAGATTTCAAGGAGGGCTTGACCAGGTTTGTACCACAAGAACACAGTATTGTATTTGTTAYCTTTAACATGGGAGGGGGATCCGCACCAAAACAACTTTAAAAATCCAAATTCTGCTGTTAACCCATCAGTTCCCTGGCATTCATCACACAGGGCCCCCTATTTCTGTTTGTTCCACTAGGAACCCTTTGGTGATTAACTTCTGTATTTATCTTTGACACTTATCTTTCTCTCAAAGATGGAATTTCAAGATTTTCATTAATATCCCAAACAGCAGCAATAAAACCGCACAGAAGGAGCCTGTCTCAGAGACCACAGACACACACACTCTCTCTCACCTGGAGTCACACAGCACCAATTTTACTGCAGACACTTAGTTAAAGAGAGTTTTTGCAGGCTGCAGTCAAACACTGCTGCATGGGCAAAGCTCTCCCCAGGAAGTCAAGCACGGCTCAAAAGTTTTCATTCAGCAAAACAAGAAACAATTTGGCATTCATTCCCACGCAAACACCAATGCACCCTCCTTGGGAGGGACCAATTATTTTCCTTTCCATCCCATGCTCAGGCCAGTCATCCTCTATCACTTGATAAAACACATGAATGGCTGCATTCAAAGCTGTAGCAAACAGAGACAGCTCAGTAAAGCTCTGTAAAAACAGGTCCCCAGAGCACACCACTGAACGGGTTCCCAACGCGCTTCCCATATGCATGCCCTTTATCTAAAGAAGCCCATGACTTTGGCAGATGTTGGATGCTTGCAACTAGGTCAGTTTGAGCCAGAGCGAGTGGAGGCTAAAGGCTAGGAAGGGAAATTAAACTGCGCTCCTGCTTCACAAACTGTGGCTGTCAAACCCAGAGCTCTTCACCCTTCTGCTCAAGCAGGGATTTCACCACCRGCTAGGCAAAAGATCTGACTGGCAGGGTGATGAAACGCCTCAGTGATAAACTGTCAGGAGCACTCGGAACGTTATGACCGGGAAAAAAATATTCCAAAATACAGCACACGTAGGAATTCACGGGGAGGGAGGTGGACGGGCAGGAAAGCGCTGCCAAGGTATGTGAATCAGCCTTATCGAAATGCTCATCGCCGCACGGCTGGCACGACTGATCACACTGCTGCATCCACCCGAGAGAAACACGGCTCCAGCTGGAGAACAGAGGCTCCATYCCTTCCCTCCTGGTGCCATCTGCACCAGCCATCCTCAGCTCTTTAATCYGCTGCCCAGCGCTGCAGGAGAGCCACCGCGGCTGGAAATCGGCCGGGCTTTTAAAAGTTGCTGCGAAAATCCTGAGTAACTTCTGCAGCAGGAATGCCTGCAGACTACAGGCAGCAGTTTCCCCGCTGCCACTGCGGTTGCTGGGAAATTCAAGTTTCCAAAAGCACGCAGGAATAATTAGATGGAGCCAAATAAATGCACACACAAAACCTTACACGAATATGCAAATAATAGGGTGTATTCAGCAGCCCCAGAAATTAAGGCAGCAGCACAAGCTTGTATTTGCATAAACTATGCAGGATATGGCACCAAGTAATTCTGGAACATGTGCATTTTGCAAACAGCAAGCATAATAATAGACAAATATTTTGGAACATGACATTGATCAAATACTCCCTGAAACTTCACATGAAGAACCTCAGAGACAGCCCACTATTTAAACACAGACATCTACTGCTGGCATCCTGGGGTGTTTTCACTGCTGAGTTCTGTGGGAAAAGAAATGGACTTTATATAGATTTTTATCAGCATTTATTATTTATAAAGCCCTGTTGGCAAGCACAATGTTTCAAGAACAAATAAAAGTGAATGATCCTTGCTTAAAAACCACATAATGAATGRATGTATACTTTGTACATACATTCAAGCTGGTGCTGCTAGTCTATTGTACAGCAAACATGGAAAAAAAGAAAGGTTTTTACATCTATAAAAAGAAATAACAATACCCACTTCTAAATGTACCGACATGAAAGCCAAGCCCAACCCAAAGYGAGCTCTTCAATCACTCCTGAGAACCCAAGCCCCCAGCTTGTGTTCTTAAYAAGCTGAGTTTCTGCCCTCATGGTCTCCTCTGTGCAGAACAAGACAGACAAAATCTGAGGAAACCAACTTGTCGCCGTATAAGGCGAAAAAAGGTTTCTCTTCCTGAGTTACAAATAACTAGGGAAAGTCACACATGTGGCCAAGCAAAGCAGAAGTATGAGTACAGAACTCCCTCGCTGCTGACAGGCTAAAATTAGTAGTTTATTCAACTGCCCAGAACTACACACTGTGCCTGTCCTACGCAGCAAGCATCTCCCTATTTGTCTGTCTTTCTGTTTGCTCTCTGCTTTGTCTCGCCTGCTAATTTGTCCCTSGGGGAGCAGCCCAGCAGCCACGGCTGAGCCCCACTCATCCCAGGGGCCTGAGCAAAGGAATATCCACCTGCAGTTACACCTGGGCAGCTCGGCAGTGCCTCCACTGATTCCACCCCTGACAGCACCCGACAACAGCACTTGGCCCCACTCCGTCTGCAAAAATTATCAAGTGCTCCATGCTTTCCACCAAGCATCTTTGCTGCTCCTGCCCTCTCTCCCCTGCAGCACCTGTAAGCACAGCGCTGGGCAGACTCGCTTGAAGCACAGATTCACCCTGCAATGACAATCCCACATTTGCATCTGTWCATTGTATGAAGAGATGCACGGTATTTGCAATGAAGGCAGATAAATTATACAGGCAACAAGAGCAACACTTGCCCACTGCAGCTGGGCTACTGCTTATGCATGCTGGGGATTGTTTTGAGGTTAGTTTGCTTTTTTCTCCTTCCCCCCACTGCCCAGTTGTCYGTCACTGCCTGTGGATCCGGCTGGCTGTGGGGCACAGGGATGCTCAGGATACAGACCTGGAGAAGGGCAGGGAGCAGARACAGCAGCACCTCAGGTGAGTTCATCCTTCGGAAGAGGAAAGACAGCGGGAATCGCAGTGTTCATTTCCAGACGGTGGGGCTGGGCTGTGTGAAACACTCCAAAGGAGCAGCAACGCTACTCCGGCACAAAGCACGCCCCAAAGAGTTGGGGAGAACAGGAAAAGAAATGCTAAACTGGGGAGGAGTGAGCAAGGCGAAGGAGTTTGAGGAAAATGCCACACTGGGGACTATTGCTGCTGATCCTACGCTCCAACACCCCAGCGAAGTGTGCCGATATAGAGCCCTCCAGCAAATCCATACATCCCAGCACACCGGTGCCCACTGGGTGACATCACCCGTGGGCTCTTCCTTGGATATTACTCTGAGGAAGGATTATCCCACACTCATTCACACTGACAGCTCATTTTGCAAGTAGCTCATCGGAAACAATATATTTACTTACTAAGGTGTTACTCACATAAAAAAAGGCATGTTCCTGTCAGGCTCCTACAAATTAAGTTACATCCACATATACTCACCTAGAGTATAGAACTGCTGAATTTATCTCATCAGATGTGATGCAGTTTCTTTTGCAATTACATGTACGTTTCAACTAAACGTCTGTTTTATTATATGGAGATGAATTCTAATTTCCATTTCATATTAATGGTGAATATAAACCACGGTTAGTTTAGTCACATACCTTGAAAAATTATAGATCACGTTCAGTACAAATTTGCATAAGTAGTTTGAGCATGTGAGAGAWGCAATGCTAAATACTGAATACAAGTACCAAATGCAGAAATCTTACATTTACTGTAGAATATATTATGTGTATGGCCTCAAAAAGCCTCAGAGATTACGAATACATTTCTTTTCCATGGAAACTATAAATCTCAAATCCAGCAAGCTATTTTGAGAAATTTAAATCAACTATACACTTACATCTGCTGGAAGCAGAACATTTCCACAGGCTGTACACTTCAAGGCACAAGCACAGCCGTATGGACATCTTCCCAACTCTTCTACTACACTTCTGCCTCTGACACCACATCTCACTATGCAGATTTAGTGCTGAAGTGTTATTTGGATTGCTCTGTACCCAAMACCGGGACTTTCGGGGCTGCTGCGCTTTGAACCGCTGCATCACTTGAGAGGATGAGGCAAACCGGTACCGCGGGAGGCACGAAGCAAGTGCCCCGCCAGATTCTCCGGGTATCGATTCGGTGCGAAGTGGGAAGGCTGGCGCTGGAGCCGAGCGCCCGGCCAGCCGCGGAGCCGCAGCGGTGCCAGCCCGCCCCGGGCACGGCCGCGCTCCGGGCGCTCGGGAGTCCCGCGGAGCGGCCGCACAACTTGGGAGGCAGCGGGTGGGTGACCCCTCGGCACTGCTGAGTCATTTCAGCCGCCSAACGCCGGGCTGCCGTGACCCCCGCGGGCCGGGGGGCTGCCCGCAGAGCCGCCCCGGTGCCGGGGAAACTTCCCCCGCGCTCCGCCGCGCACCGCCGCTCAGCCCCTCAGCGCGGGGGGCTGCGGGCCGGCCGCACTCACCAGGTAGGCTCCCACCGTGCCCTGGGCCAGCATCAGGGCGCACTCGGACACCAGGAAGAGCTGGATGCTGGAGAAGCAGGAGACCTTCCTCCGCCGCCTGCGCTGCCGCGGCGCGCCGGCCGCCGGGAGCTCACCGCCACCGCCACCGCCGCCCGCCGAGCCCCGCTTCCCCGGCATCCTCCCGGGCACCGCCGCTCCGCCGCCGCGGGATGGCGGGCCCCGCGGCTGCTCCGCGCCTTCCTCCTCCTCCGCCTCCTCCGCCTCCTCCTCCTCCTCGGGGTGCCAATCACAGCGGCAACCCGCGGCTGCCTCTCCGCCCGCGGGCTGCTGCCATGGCCAGCTCGCCGCCTCCTCCGCCGCCGCCTCCTCGCTTCTCCCCTCCCCTCGCCCGGCCGCGCTCCCTCTCTCCGCCGGCCCCGCGTAGGCCGAGCCCGCGTCCCCGCCGGCGAGGGGCGGGGAAGGCGCGGGGCTGGGGCCGGGSCCGGGGCTGGCGGAGGCTCCGCGGCGGCGGCGGGCGGGGCGGCTCCGTGCCGGGCTCCGGGCAGGGCGGGGGCAGCGATCGCAGCGCCCGCCCCGACCCCGCTGCCCCCCAGCTGCGGCCCCGCAGGAGCGAGCGGGGATGTTCCCGCACGGCGCTGCCAGCGGGGATTGTGCCCGCGGGGTGAGGAAAGGATGCTCCCGCATCGGCCCGCCCGGCGGCTCCTCGCAGGTGGGTCCCACTTGTTTTATTCCCCTTCTCAGAGGGGAACGGAGGCCCAAAGAAATTAAATGTAAGAAGAAATGAGCGGCAGGAGGTGTGAGCGCGTCGCGCTGCCGCTGCCACGTGCRCCAGCCTTGGCCACGCTCCGTGTCCCTGCCACCTGCCTTCCCTTYGCAGGTGCCCTTTGTGGTCAGCCCCACCTCGAGTTCTAATTTCAAGAGATATCTGCTGTTAAAAACAACTAATCTTTGCTTCTACTATTACAGATCACATTCCTTGTTGGCGTAAGTGCAAAACCTGATCTGTTTCGCTCTTCACATGCACTTTTCTAGTTCATTTCTGGATCTGCACTGGGGGTTGCTGTTTAACTTCCATGTGCTGCTAAACTTTGAGTTTGTGGACCTTTAAATCCATGATCCATTTAGTACTGGAATGGCCATGGCCTTTGAGAGGAAGAATTTAGTGTGGAAACACAGGTTATATTTTCCAGACATATCTCATGATATGTATCCAAAATTTCATTTCAAATGTAGATGAGACCTTGAAGCTCCTGAACACCTAAGGAGATATCTTTGAAAATGGAACTTAGGACCACCAGTCATCACCAGGAAGTAAAAAAAAAAAATGGATATTTTAAATGGACCCATTTTTCTTCCCATACTCTTTTTGAGTTTCTTCCACAATATTATCAYCACTTGTGGGCTTTTTACTTTGGCTTATTTTTATGTGAGTAACCTTAGTAAATGCAGTGCTGAAAATCTCTGAGCAGAGTCTGCACCTAGGCTGATAAATCTTTACTCAGACCTGGTCACATTGCCCCTGCAGACCATTGCTGGGAAGAAAAGGCACCTTCAGTTGATGCCCTTTGCTCGCCAGCTGCCAGCAGGTCCCTCCCATGCTGAACTTTGTCTTTCCAGCAGGTCTGGGCCACATCAACAGGTGTCAATAGTCCCCTCCACCCCAGGGACACSGTCTCCAACATTAATGGCCCGAGGCATCGCTATCAGATAATTAGTGGGAAGAACAGTCTGGTGCTTGTGGATGAGTGGTCTTTAATGAGATACAGATCAGTCCTTCAGATGTTGGAAGCATCACAAGATGCACGTCAGAAGTTACCTGAGGCCTCAAGTGCCAAGGTTTTTGCATGAGGCCATGAGAAACTGGCTCTTCCATACAGGTTTCTGCCAGTTCACAAGGTGTTTGTTTTTCATCCTGGAAAAACTGGTTCTTCCACCAAAGAAACCCCAAAAAGACTCATTTTCTGGAAATCCCTTAGACAATAAAAGTGCTCATCTCCTTCCTAAAATGTTAATTTAGGGACTTTTTCTATAAAAATTCTGGAGTTTGGAAGCTAGCAAGGCWTCTGTCTCTGGATGGATAAATTCACAGCCTTGAATTAAATTCAATTAGCATGGCTAGACAGATGCTTTGCTCCAGGTGGATGCTGTAGTGCGTTATAAACAGGATGGACAAGCTCACAGACTTTTAAATAGGTGAAACCAGAGTGGTGTCTCTTAAAATACTTGAATATACAGAGTTATGCTGACAGAAGTCTTAAAATTTCCTGGGGGGGAAAAAAAAAACAGAACACATTTTTTAGGCATGCTGCTCTTTCCAGTCAACTTTTGCCTGCTCTAGGTTAGATGCTAAAGGCAGCAAAGCTCTGAAAACTCATATAACTCACCAAGTGTGTATCTGGAGGCAGAAGTAAACTTCTGCACGTGCTACTGCAGTTACCAACATTCCAGTTGATGCTTTRAAGCTCTTGAGAATATATATATMTATATAACATATGCAAATRCCATCTTGTGTCTTGATCACGTCTTAGACATCCTGTTGGAAGAGTTTGTCCAGGCTGATGTACTGCTTGTCTTTCACAAGGAAAACAGCTGCTAGAAAAAATTGACTCTRATACTAATTATCTGAAACATCTGGCTGCTTTTTGCTGAAATTTCTGCTGCAATAAATCGCAGCAGAATATGATTTTCAGTAAGGTTTCTGTCCAGAAGTGATGGAATGCCTGGATTTTTTTGCTCTTCTTTATGCTGCATACTCACAGTGTTTTCCTTTAGAAAAGTTCCTCCTGTATTGCTCTGCTGAAAAAAGGAATGAGAGTCTTGCATTTCTGCTTCAGTAGACCTGAGTTTGCTTTCTGCCACCTCTCAACAGCCCACATTTCTGAAAGATCTCAGCAGAGTCCTTCAGGGACAGACAAGTGACCTGGCTGGATTTAATAGTTAATTATTGCTATACCCAAACAGCTTTTCTGGTCTAAATTGACTCAGCTTTAACTACTAATGTGTGGAATACTAATGTTCTTGGATTATCATTAGCCTAGAATGAAAAATGACTCTATAGCTAAAATAGTCCCTTCTCCTCAGGGCTCAGTAGTTTTGCCAACACAGTTCTCAGTTATTTCCCCAATCAAAGCAAGYATTTCCCCCACAGTAATTTGTACCAAATATCTGGGAGATACCTTGTTCAGGTTTTTATAAACACTCCCAACATCCACAGCTGGAAGGTAACGTGCTACCCTAGATAAGGTTGGTCACTGCAATCCTAAATGTTCCAGCTGCCCAGAAACCATCTCATTCCATCTGGACATCTCCTTGCTGGGTACCTGCRGGTTTGTGTCAACATTCACCTCTGGGTAACCTTCACAGGCAGAGTTTTCTTTATCTATCACCATGCTGAAACAATTTCTGCTTTATTTCACTTTTTTCTCCCTCCTGTTCATGGTTAATAGTACTGCAAATTACCTGTGTAATCACGTGTCTTGATACTAGGCAGGCATAACTTTTTTGATCCGTGTGTAGTTATTGCCTGTGGTATATGGGGTGTGTGGCACAGAACTGAGAGCTGTGAAGGGCGAGGACCTTAGCAAAGTACTTGRCTTACACCTCAAGGGGCAAAAGTGCAAACTGAAAATCTAAGCTTGACCATCAGCAGTGTAGGTAACAGGAGAAGGAACAGGAGAGGATGATTTCCCTTCAGCAGAGCTGGTGGAAGCCACTCCTGAGAAATGTGTCAAAGCAAGCAGCTGAGCTGTRTCATTAAACGTCTCTAAAACCGCCACTGGCATCGTATTCCCAAACCTTCCAGACGTATTTTACAGTCCAGGGAGTTAATAATGTGTGCCTCCCTCAGTACAGCCTCACTGGAGCTGTGTACCTGTTCTGGCTGGGGATGTAGCAGAGAAAACCAAGAAAGGTGCTGAGAGAAAACAGCGGTCTTGCAGAACACCTGTGATATATATTAAAAAAACAAAACAAAACAACCAACCAAAACAGTGCTGTGACCATAACKATTGACTTCTGCCACCAAAACTGCTCTGGATATTCTCTACAGGGCAACTTCATCACTCTGCTGTAGGTCAGGAGCAGCCATCCAGTTTGACACCATCCTCACCCCTCCCCATGGCTATGTTTTTAGACAGGTGTTTGAGCAGCGCAGCAGCTTTGGGGCTTCTGTCCTGCCCCGTGGCCCTGGGTGCCAGCCCGCCTGTAAATCGCTGCTAATCTGACATAATTGGAGGGTGACTGAGGAGCATCATCCCGAGAGCCGCCCTGGGGCCGTGCTGGCCTCACCCTGCTGGGCTGGCACTTGTTCTGCTCTGGCTCTGGGACAGTGGATGCTCTCACCTGGCTGCCAGGATGTCACAGCTCTGCRTTAGGTACAGGAGAATAATGTTCTTTAGAGGTTTGCAATATGCTTCGCTTAAAATCCCACCAGTGAAGTTAAAAATCGGGCACAGCTGTCTCAGATACCAGTCTCAGACTACACCCATTTGGGTTTCTTTCCAGGACATTTCCCCCATGTTCAGGCCAGTTTTCATTTGCTTTAAGCTATTTGGATGAAASGAGAGCTCATGTGCTGCCAAAAGAGATTTGCATGTAATGTAAATCATATCCCCTTGGCACCAGATCTGCACCCCTCGTCCTGCTTGGTGCATTTGTCTGAGGGAAGGCTTACATGTTAAGAAAATAAGGAATAACCTCAGACATGTTCAAAGTACAAGGAAGAAAATGTAAATAAATAAAAGATCCCAGGGCTTCAGCCAAGAAGCTTTTCCTTGGGATGGCTTTGAARTGATGTTTTGTGATTCTCTGGTACAAAACCCTGTGGATCAGCTGGTACAGGAGAGAGGAGACAGGAAGGGATTTAAATCATCTACCGGTGTAGAATGGTGTRTGAGTGTGCCCATAAGCCAAGGGTGTCTGGCAGTGAGGAAAGCTGAGACTAGGACAGCTTGTGGATGTATCAGCAGCTGTCATTTCCAAGATACCACCACACTCACAGTTTTAAAGCCATTTCTTTCTATAAACACTTCTGACTTTACTGCCTTGCTATTTTGAGTCCTGCTGGAGACTCGGACTCATTAAAAAGGCATTTCCTTCAGACAAGCTGATTAGATAGCTCTTCCTTCCCCCAGATGATRAAAGGATGGAGAACACCTCACTGAAGCTAAAAATTGCAGAAAATTAGGACATATTAGTTTAACAAGAGGTGAA